AGAGAGAGAGAGAGAGAGAGAGAGAGAGAGAGAGAGAGAGAGAGAGAGAGAGAGAGAGAGTTGGGTGGTGGGGGCCATAAAGAGGTGGCGCGTGAGCGGTGTTCCTTTGATTGGCACATACTACCCAACCGGGCCGTGCTGTCACCGTTCAGCACGGTGATATCACAATACAAATATGTTCAAGTAAAAAGTGTCGTCACGTTGTCTTCCATATGTTGATGAACCCCACTTAGGTTTTGCGAAACATGGAACAATGTGTACAGTGTTCGTGATGTTGTCAACGGAGATGACACTGCACAGCTGACGACCATTTATCACTTCCCATTTCAGTTTTTTGCACCCTGTCACATCTGCTCTTTCAGTGTCTGTCTCTTTGTACCATTTTACAGAGGCGCACTCGCGCGTGGTGCGCACTCCTTCCGTACAGGTGTTCATGACAAAAAACATTGCCACAGATGCATACCACATACTTCCTGTCTGTGCCCTCACAAACACATCACTGTGCACCGCTTTCCCGTGGAAGTTGGGTGAAGCCCTTGCAGTTTGCACAAGTGCGCCCTTGGTTGTTCCATCGCCTGTTGCTGCGATGGCAAGATGCGTTCTAGTGCGTATTAACATGTCCTCTGGCGGTGGATTGCACCCGTTTTTCGACATGTACGTGTGAAGAGCTTCTAGAAATAACTCCTTGCACGGGAGGGCATCCAATATTGCTTTGACGGTTCCCGTCGCACCTTCGTTCCCATTTGTTCCTGCATTTTTTCGGGGGAAATATCGGAGTTGCATCTTTGCCGTGTCGCGTGTGGCAAGTGTGTTCATTCCACGTGCCGAGCACTCCATGACCGACGACCAATTTTCAGTTGTCCTCTTCCTGTGTTTCCGTGCACGGTCAATGTCGTCGTCGAATGCGACTGTCCTTCGCACGTGATTTACCATTTGAAATGAGGCTTTGCGCTTGTTCGGCGACAGGAAAGGCTGTTTGCAAAACTTCTGGTGGTGGTGCTCCCAGACATCGGCCGCGAAGCTGTCAGGGAGGCCTGAATGTTCGATGCACGCCCTCAAATGCAGAAGGTCATGTAACTTCGACACTTTCCTGTTGGAGGTTTCATAACGACCCAGGACCTGTTTGAGGGTTGTTATGAAGTCCGTCATCAGATTGTCACATGCGTCAAGCGAATGACTTGAATGCTTTGTGCACCGGAACATTGAGATGTACAGTTCCATTAGTTTCTTGAAACAAGATGTTATTCGTTTCCCTACTGAATCGGGGACTATGTTGGACACTATGAATACGCACACTGTCATGATCGACCGGTTCTGCTTAGCTTCGAAACGGCCCTCTCGTGAAAAGTAGTAGCAACCTGTTGCAACAGGTAGCACAAGTTGCGGATACGTAGTACTACTTCTCTCGCTCAACGTCTGCAACCTCGCATCCAACTCCTTCAACACATGGCTTTGTGGGACGTGGCTTAACTTGTCAAAGGCAGCTGCTTTGAAAGCGTCTAACATGTGCAAAAAAATGCCGTGCTCAATGGTGTGCATGCGGTCTGGTTGCAGAGCCAGGTGGTAGTCGAACATCGGATCATCGTCTTCAGGACCTCTATAAAACCCCCACAAGCCGTTCTCTTTCACATGCGTGTGCATGTTCAAGTTTGACAATTGTGTCTTCCCCAAGCGACGAACATCATCGTTGTCTGTCGTGTGGAATTCAGTTAGAAGTGCACGTTCCCTGCTTTGTGATCGACGACAGTTATTGAAGTCCGCAATGAAATCAAAATGTGATTTTGACACTGTGCATGTCGCGCAAACACTGTATCGAACCGTTGCGATGGCGCACCTCTCAGGGTAATCTTGAATATAATTCAGCAGGAAAGGGTGCACTGTTACTTCTCCCCAGCGCTCATCGTCATAAACAATGACATCATGCGACGCGTGCTTCGCAGCCTGCAACACCGCAGACAGAGCTGAGTGCAGTATGACGGTTTTGCGTTGCCTGAACGCGGTGCTTTGCAAACCCCATCCCTTGTCTCCTGGGCGGTGATGGAGGACAGGAACATACGCGAGAAGTGTCGCGTCATGTGCATGGTCACCTATTGACATCATTAATGGATATGCTGTTTATTTATGTCGTCCATCTACATGTGTCTTGTCAGAATACAGACAGATTGGCACTGCATACCGTATTCTGCCATTCTTATCTACGCCTTTGTGCGCTCTGATGACGGTCTCACGTGATGCCACAATGCTCCACAGCGAGCGCTGTCTATTGTGGGTTCTGGCTGGGGGGGGGGGG